TTTTCTCCAAAATGCCTTCAAAAACAAGTAGGCAAGATCTTCCGCAGCCCACCCGTAGTACTTATACAGGAACAGTTTCCATTCCCCCAAATAAAGGCCATATCTATAACGGAATGCTAAGATTGAGAAGCTGTCAGACTTGCTTGGATTATGAAATATCAGTAAAGTGCTACTTTCACCGTTTTCCTTCGAGTCCAATACTGTTTGTTGGTATACATAACAGGCACAATAACGAGGCGAAGACCTTGTCATTCACGGTATGAAGATTGAGCAACCACTCGAAAGTACTCATGCAAGCTTTTGAATATTAAAATACATATGCCATGTGTGTTTATCAATATTTAACCATTCTTATTTATTTAAAGCAGGGATTACATGGTCATATTTACGTAAGCCTCCAAAAGCAACTTCAACAGCGGTTTTGCAACCTTTCAGCCTGTTCATTTTGTTGTTACTCCCCAAATTTTTATCCTTGATCAATAGTTTATAAGACTCGGTACTAAAGAATATACAATCATTATCCTTCTTGAGGTATCAAACCTGTCTCCTGTTCTATTTAGGTAAAGGAGAATGCTATAACATTTCTAGAGTTAAATTACAGATATTGGTCAAAATAATATTTTTACCACTGTCTTAGGTAATATATGGTTACTGTTAAAATGTATAAAAATATCATCTGAGAGTGGAGATCAGAAATCGAGAGCCAATAAATGTACATTGTGTTTTGGTTTCATTCAAAAGTAAACCATTCCTCTGTAAATACATCTTAACAGATGATTGGGAACTTTCTGCTTTCTCAATCAATTCTGCATTATTGTTAGTATCTCCAGTCAGCAGTATTTGGGTATCGTCAGTGTACTGGACGACGAAGCAATCTGGCATGTGTTCTGACAGGTTATTAACATGTATAGAAAAAAGAATTGGACCCAACACATAACCCTGGGGAACACCGTAAGACATTCCTCTGGGTAGAAAGCACATTCCCAATTCTCACAGACTGCGATTTATTACTTAAATAACCATGGAACCAAAGAGGATTTATGTTCTATGCTTGACATTTTTCTATAAGCATTTTATGGTTTACACTATCGAAAACCTTCGATAAGTCTAAAAGAATGAGGAAAGACAACTTATTATCTACATCATCATATATTTTGTCTGAAATCTTACAGAAATCTTAATGAGTTACACTTATTGCCTGGAATCATTTTCCTGCTGGTTTTCCACGTAGCATCATTCATATTATTTCTACTATCATGTAATTCTTATTTATGATATTGTTTTTTGCTTGTATCTATAAGTCACACACACACACACATACACACACATACACACACACACACCTACACACACACGCACACTCCTACACGCACACACACACACTCCCCCACACACAAGTATTTTGACTCCTTTCTTTTCTGTTTTGTAATGTTCACGTAAGATCATATCAGAGTAACCAGCCTGAATTCTTCTCCTATTCTTGTGTCTAGAGTCAATAGCATCTTTTATGTCACTAGTTATCTCTCTCTCTCCTCTCTCTCTCTCTCTCTCCTCTTCTCTCTCTCTCTCTCTCTCCTCTTCTCTCTCTCTCTCTCTCTTCTCTCTCTCCTCTCTCTATCTCTCTCTCTCCTCTCTCTCTCTCTCTCTCTCTCTCTCTCTCTCTCTCTCTCTCTCTCTCTCTCTCTCTCTCTCTCTCTCTCTCTCTCTCTCTCTCTCCTCTTCTCTCTGGTGGTCTGGTCGTTTATCCCGTCACGACAGGGGCACACTCACCCATACAATTCAGAAAAAAACGTTATATAAGATCGACTTGCAAATTGACATTATCGATACGTAAAATATCTGCTCTAATAAAAGATCACAAAAATCATTTTGATTATATATTTTTTAGACACCGAGATGTTGGGTGAATAGATTGCCGTTTCGGTTTAGTTAATTCAAGAGTGGCAAATATCACTTCATGATCTGCTATCGAGCTTGGCATTATCTCAATATTGGAGATAATTTCAGGTTTATTGGTTATCATTAGATCTAAAAGTGTAGCAGAGTTCGAGGTTATTTATCCTAGTTGCTTTGCTAATCATCTGGATTAAATTCCTATTTTCTATTAGTCTGCTCATTTTGTTATTAGGTTCTAATCGATTATCATTGAAATCCCCTACTCTTATAAATGTTTTGTCACGGAGGCAAATATTTTCAAAACAATCTGAAATACAGTGATAATGGATTGAAACTTTCTACACTGTAAAGGAATCCAAATGACCTCAGCTCTATCTACTTTATTGATTACTGGATTGATTACCGTTGCCTTAAAATCATCCTTGATATACACACACACTCCTTCTCTGCTCCAAGGTCCTGGCGATGAATAGTGAAAATGATATATGGACGAAGGAGTCGCTAATACCAGGGAGGAGCCACGTTTCACTTGTGCTTGAGTTATCAATGTCCTTTTCCTTGATTAACATTTCTATTTGATCTTTATGGCAAAGGACGTATTGAGCATTTATATGAGCTATGTTAGCAAGGGCCCTTTCTCTTCTTTATCATCGACACTAACTTCTTGGTCATAATCCTATTTGTGGCAATAATTGTGGCATAGTTGACTTTTGTGGCCATACCATGTGGCAAGATGTACATTTGATTTTGTGGTCGAATCTGCAGGGTGACTGGCTGTGGTTGAATTGCCACAATTATATATATATATATATATATATATATATATATATATATATATATATATATATATATATATGTGTATGTGTGTGTGTGTGTGTGTGTGTGTGTGTGTGTGTGTGTGTGTGTGTGTGTGTGTGTGTGTGTGTGTGTGTACACATAATCATACATAATCATACACATACACACACATATATCTATCTATACATATATACATATATACATACATATACATGTATACATAAATATTTGCATTTATGTATTTGGATACATAAAATAAAAATTAAAATAATACCAACGCTAAAAAAATGTATCCGTTTTCTTTAAAAGCTCACTGTTCCTAGATGGCGCGTCTCGCAGAAATCGGAGAGATCCTTTGTTTAAAAAAGCTATAAATAGCCCGAGAAACCGTTAGTAGTTAGACACCAATCGAAGATGAGGTCGAATACGTTCTTTGTTTTGGTGGGTGCCATTCTTTTTGCCCCTTTGTCAAGTTTAGTGTGATATGTTGTAGGGGGTTTAATTTGATTTACAAGTGAATCCGAGTGAATAGTTAGTGCTTGATTGTGAATAGGAACTTTAATGTACACGTGCATCGGTATGTTATTCCTGAAGGATAAATTGTTATAAGCTAAATTAGCTAGTAATTAATGGGCCACTATTATATGGCATTTACGGTTCGGGTAATTAAAAAATTAATTTAAAAACTTTAAAAGACTGCCCTGGCAGTTTCTTTAACTTTAGTGATTTTCATAACTCTTCAACTGTAAAGTTTACAGTTGAACTTAACCTTAAAGGATATAGGTTTGTCTTGTCTATAAAGTAGACAATGAATACAGGTTACATGTATTAACCTAGTATAAACAGCATGTGCTTGTGTAATTGAGAATTATTTTGAAAATTTGTTATTTCAGCTGGTCCTGGGAGTAGCCCTTGCTGCAGCCAGGTTAGTAAGCCTTAAAGTTGACAATATTACCAATTAAGCAAGAAGCCTACTTTATGTTGAATAAAACTGATTGATTCTTTTCTCAGGGACTTGCGAGCTAAACGCCGTGTTACTACAGATTTCCATGATTACTCGAAGATGTGTGAAGCTCAGCCTGACAAATTCATATGCGTAGACTGCAAGACCATGGTCCAGTGTGTGAAGGGACAAGCCTTCACTCGCCACTGCATCGAGAACCACTACTGTTCAAAGAAGCCCGAGTTTGGCGGGGGAGTCTGCTACCCAGATGAGCCTCAGGCCTGCAAATGCGAGAAGGCCAACTCCTTCCGAGTGGACCTCTATGACCCTCAGAAGTTCTTCTCTTGCAAGAACCTTGTAACCCCCCCAGAGAACTACAAATGCCCAGATGGCATGGTATTCGACGAAGCCTCTGCCCAGTG